TAGTGGTAATTCATTGTTGTAAGAATCTAGTGACAAATTAGTGCCTAAAGTTGAAGATTAACAATATAACTATTGTTTGCTTGGTTTGCACTTACTTTGTATCATTTTCAAGAGCTTAATGAAGTAGAAGATTAGCCTGCCAATATTAAACTAAAATTTTCAAAAATGAGTGATTGTCAGATTCTGAAATGGCATACCCTAGAGAAAATATCCTTCATCACTACGAGTTCTATATTATGCAAGGTCGATATATCAGCAATTAAAGCAAAATATCTCTTCTCTGATTAATTTCAACTATCTATATCCTGGTAACAGAAGGGATAACAGCAATGGGAAAATCTAGAACGTCATCCCTCACGCTAACCTGTACCTGATGTCAAATGTTCACTTTGTCTGGTTTTGTTGCAGCATGCCCCATATTAATAATGCTTATTTTAACTCTATCTAAAACTTGCCCTTTACTTTATCAGAAGTCTTCAAACATAAGCACAAATTTCCCATCTTGTCTACAATTAAGGAATTGTCATTGCTGGGACAGCATAATTTTTTACATGTTCAGGATTTGTTGATGTTGACGTAAAATATTTGAGAATGTTCAACGGTTCTTTTGTAATGAGATAAAAAGAGAAAAAAACTGGTTTTGAAATTATTATTTGTCTTCTTAATTTCCAAGCCAAAGTGGAAAAAAAAAGTTTAAAAGCGGTGTTGTGTGCAAGTTAGTGGGAATTCTAACACAAGGTTAGCAGATGAGGAGCAAGATAAAAATGACGATAATTTAACAAAACATTCAGCAACAATGTGTCATGGATAGGCACTAACGGTGACGTATTCCTCCGAGATTTCCGCTCAGTTACACGAATCTCCAAAACAATGTGCTCATTACGCCACATGATCAACAAACCCCGTCACACAATGGTGCGGCAAATACGAGATTATTCTGGAATCATTTCTTATTTGCTAGAATTAAGCTGTCGATCTGGGAATATTATAGAATTTCCACGGTCAGAAGATTCTAGAGCGCGGAAATATCAATATATATATAACCAGCGAACGACGGCGATTCCAACAAAACAAAAAACAATATCGCAAACAATTCCTACACTCACAAAAAACTATACAACAAACAACTGCTAACTGTATAACTACAACATGTCACTCATCGGAGTAGACGATCGCCTGGAGCATCAAGTTAACCGCCTTTTCGACGACTTTATTAATGATCTTAGAACGACAAGACGCGGGGAAACAACTAGACGACCTAACAATGATCGACAAAAGTGGGCTCCACTCATTGATGTTCACGAAAGGGATAAGGATTATGTTGTGACCGCCGAACTACCGGTAAGTTATTCACTTGATGGTGGTTTTTCTAGACTTCAGTCATTATCTCTTGGCAGCATCTGACAGTTTTTCAATCACACAGGGTGTTAAGAAAGATCAAATAAACTTGGACGTACGTGAAAACACTCTGGTGATATCTGGCGAGACCAAAAAGGATCAACAGTTCAATGAAGGCAATGCTCACGTTAGAGAACGTCGTTGGGGCAGTTTCTCACGTTCAATCGGCCTGCCGAATAACATAAAGGCTGCAGAAATTAGTGCAAAGTTTAATGACGGTGTCCTAGAAGTAACGATTCCAAAGATCGAAGCTGTCCAACCGAAGAAGATTACAATTAACTGAGCCGCGAGTTGGAGCAAGTTATATTTTTAGTCATGTTGTAAATGTTGTTTAGTATTAGTTTAATATGTTGATCATGTTATAACTGAGTTAGGTAATTGTCAATAAATTACGTAGTTTGTACGAAATACATTGTCGCAATGTCAGAAATAATTGCTTTCAAATGTACCGCACCCTAATTCAGGGTCAAAACGGCGTTATTGCTTATTCAAACACATTCACTCCGCTCTTTGGAATGAATTGAACACGCATGATAACCAATTATGATCATTCGCATTTTACAGAGCCAATGACAACTTTGCTATATAAAAATGCTTTAAACATTGACATTTGTATTTACGCATCCGAACAAAATTTATTTACGTATGAACCCCATGTAACACAAAATTGTTTTCCAAATGACCCAAATAGGAAAATTACAAATCAGATTAGATGAAAAAAGCGGTCAGTTGACCGAATTACACGCATGATAACCAATTATGATCATTTGCATTTTGCAGAGCCAATGACAACTTTGCTATATAAAAATGCTTGAAACATTGACATTTGTGTTTACGCATCCGAACAAAATTTATTTACGTATGAACACCATGTAACACAAAATTGTTTTCCAAATGGACTCTAGCGTCGGAAACTCAACAGCTCGATGCCCCGATCAAATTTGGAAATTAGTGCAATAAATAGGTAGGGTCACCTAGTATCAATTTGATTCCCCTACTGAAGGGGCATCGACTAATTTGGAAATTTATTTTTCACATAAATCTAATACAAGTATTACTCTATTTAGAAAGGCTGTTGAGAACTGATGCCCCCTTTGTTGTCATGTGAATAACAACAGTTTTCTTTCAGAATGAGTGAGGACCCAGTCACAGCAACAGAGAGCTCACATGTCACAACAAACGAGCTTTCTTCAGCAGCTAATCCTGCAGAGAACTCGAAGATTTTACAAAAACCATTAAGACGTACTCGCGTCGGGACTAAACTTGAAGTAGGATTAGCGTCTCAATCTCTAACGTAAAAAACCAGATCACTTTTTCCCAACAATTACTGATGCCCTCATGCTTGCAGGACATATACCCACACATACCTATTTCGCTTGACGATATAGATTCGGCTTTTGCTTTACAAGAGTATCTACAGTACCTGATCAGAACAGACAAGGAAAACTTGGATCTTTTGGTACAAGTGCCCGAAGGGCAGGATGCAGACGCCTGGCAATACGAGCATTTAAGGTAGGTAAAATAGTTAACGTGTCTAACATTTGGTTTTTGTTTTTTAGAAACGATTACGTTTCACGCATGCCTTCGCTTGCTGACATGATACATCTAAATGATTATAAACGTTCCATAGACAACTCTGTCTTGAACTCGGATATCTCGTCGTACAGTTGATGTCTGAATGCACCAGGGAAACCTGTCGAGAAATGAAAACGACTGAATTTCAATATCTATGCGCAACGCATCCAAAGTCTTCAGTATGTAAGAAACATTGCATTTGCCAGACTTGGTAAAAATTCAATTCTGTGAAGCTGACTCATTTGCATATGTATTTTGGCGAGAGCAGTGTTCTGCAATGGATTATATCGTGCACACTCTAGATCAATCAATAAGCTCGCTGAATGACCCCAGATTATTTCCAAGCAGGTATTTAAAGCTTTTCGTTAATAAGCTAGGATTAGTTCAACTTACTGAATGATAGATATGTTTATAGAATGTCCATCCCAGCCACCTCGCTAAAAAACTATCAAGAAATCTCGCGAAGGTTATATCGGATATTTGCTCATGCTTACTTCCATCATAGGGAAATCTTTGAAGCATTTGAGGTAAACCGACGATATGGCATTCTGTATTATCTTTTCTTTTTATAATTAAGATTAAATTTTCTTTTCCCAACAGATCGAAACATTTTTATATGCGAGATTTCTTAAACTATCAACTCAATATAAACTCGTATCGAAAGATCTTATAATCATTGCTCAGCCATAAAGTGACCTGGTCCTGAGTTTTGGAATTGACATGGTAGTCAGATTAGCAGACGAAAGAAATCTTGTAATCGTAAACTATTTAATGTACAGTACAAATATGCAACGTATAATACCAGATGAAGCACAGAATATACTATGTAATACGCAAGATTCACGATATGCGATGATATAAAACAGACATTTTGTTAGCTGCACGTACGTTTCTGCTAAACGTGCCTCATCACTACAAAAAAAAACAAAACGCTCACTCTCACTCGGTAATATCTTTCCACTAAACATCCGACTCAAACCGACAGCATAGTCGGCCATGTCAATGTATT